TACCTCGTTTATTCTCACTAACAATCGATATGTTATATAATACAACCGAATTAAGTGATATCGATCAATTAATTTTTGCATTGCCAAAGCTGAAATATCTCAAATGTTCAGCTGAAGATTCTGATATAAACGTTTCACTACCATTTTCTCTCAAAGGTCAATTCAGTACTATTGAATATCTTATTATTAATCATTCTTGTAGTTTCAATGAACTTTCGGCTATATTATCTTATACACCTCAACTTTGTCCTTTGAATTTTGCACATACAAACCATAATAATTCAATCATTGCAAACCTATTACCAATAAGATTATCAAATTTAACGTATATTTCTTTAAATGCATATTATCTAAAATTTGATGAATTTACAATGTTCATTGAAAACTTAGATTGCAAATTAAAAGTTTTACATTTTACTACTTGGTCTGAAGATATGACTTATCTAGATGCATATCAACTGGTTGAAAAAATTTTTTTTCATGCAGAGTCGATAAAAAATACATCATTCGAAAGAGCTTAAAAACTGAGTATGGGTATATAATTTTCTCGGAGGGTTATGACTAAGTACGCAGCAAAAATTTTTAAGCAAAGATTCTCCAGCAAAAACTGATCGTTCTCTTTCTATGCGATCACTTTTTTCTTTCTAGTTCTGTCGTTCTGTTTTCGAAGACGTTGAACATATTCAGCTGTTTTAGCTGGAGAATCTTTGCTTAAAAATTTTTGCTGGGTACTTGGTCATAACCCTCCGAGAAAATTATTTACCCATACTCAGTTTTTAAGCTCTTTCGAATGGTGTATTTTTTATCGACTTTGCATGAAAAAAAATTTTTTCAACCAGTTGATGTGATCTGAAACTTTACCCACATAGTGGCATCGATGATACTAGCTGACAGAAAAAATTTCACAATTCCTTGACCAAGTATGTCCAAAATATTAAACTTTGAAAATATCCATTTTTTTAAAAATAATTAGAGCAAAACGCCTAGATTTAAGAAAATTCACTTTTCGAGGAGACTAAGTGAAAAAATTCTGACATTTTTTCTACAAGCTAGTCTACCCAATGTCTTTATGTGGAGAAGGTTTCAGGTCAAAATTCAAAAGTATAATTCTGCTTGAAAACTTGGGCTCTACAGCAAAAAAAAAGTCCACGAATATATTTGCTGAATTCTTTAGAAATTTTGGCAAAGCAATTACTGGGAAACGTGCAATAAAGTAGTATAAAATTACATAAAGTTTGTCTAAAATAGTTTTAAACAATTGAAATATATCCGCTTCGGTTCGCTCGAATAAGCTGATATATTCTTTTTGCTTAATAATAGAAACTTATTTACATTTTTTTTTTCATATGAAAAAAGTAAACAATTATTAGTGTCAAGTTTTCTTTTTGACATCATTATAGAAATTTTATCTATTGTCAAGTAAGAAAAATATTGGAAAAGAATCAGTCAATACAGTATCATTTATAGAGTTTATTTTAATTTCTTCTTATTGTTTTCTTAGATGAGAACTGAAAATTATCTATGAAACCGTTACACTTGTATTTTTCTTATTTGACAACAGGTGAATTTGTTTTCGTGAGTACTAATAAAAAAACTAACCGATTTGATTGAAACGATGCGGAAATATTTATTTCTTTATCACAGTGCTATTTACAGTTCATCCTGTATAAAAATCAATCTTTTCTGCACGTATTGACCAGGTACATACTAGTTGTAATGCATGTAGTAAGGTTTTCAAGATGTTTGATGCTGTTTAAATGGGTAAATTAATGTGGTCAAATCATGCTATGTATTTAGCATTTTATTATTACGGTGTATTCAATTATTTTATTTTATTTGTCGAGCATTAAATGTAAGTTGAGATTAGAGACAAGCAAAGTTATTGAACCTGATTAATTAGTTTGTATTTTCCATTTCTATTATAAAATACATGCAAAAAAAAATCCACAAATAGTTAATTGAATTTGAGATAAATTAAAATTATTCAATTTCTTAACAAATAATTATATTATGAGTTAAAAGCAAATAAGAAAAATACTTAGATAAGTAATATAACGCTATTGATTTGAGTAAAGTTGATTCATTGTAAAAACAATCTATTCATGAATATTCGAATTTTCTAATGTGAAAATGATCACAGTAGAAAAATTTGGGATAAATTTATATAATTTATAGATACTCATTATTATGAATCAGTTGAGTATTTTCATTTGTATTTGAAACAGCTGGTTTCATTAATATACCAATAGTTTTAAAAAAAAAGGAGGTAAATATATTTCATTGGAAATGTTGTTAATTAATTCCTAAACTGCATTGGAAACTAATCTAGATAAATCGATTCTATTAGAAAAAACCATGATCAAGCTATATACTTGTTATTGTTTTATAAATCCTTAATAAACGATAATCTCATTCTTGATTCTCATAGACATAATTACATACTAAAACTTGAAGACTTATGGATATATTTTATATTTTGAAGTCATTAAAATGGAGCACTTCACGAGCAAGTCAACTGATGCAGAAATGTTTTTTTTTAAAAGAATTTCGATGCACTACATGTGTATCTTCTGGTTACGATATTAAAGGTTTGTCTTGTCATTGGTATCATCGATGGCATACTAATTAACTTTTTATTTCTATTGTTGATTTTAATATGATCAAAATAAAAATCAACCGAAAATAATAAATAAGAAAGCTTAAAATGGTTCGAAAAAACATGAAAAACTCAATTTCTATTTTTCAAGAATCATGCAGTTTCAATTTATTACTAAAATTAAAAACACACACACACAAATCTTTGAGAACCGTGTCTACATCCTGCAATAATTGATTGGCTGTCCTATGACGAAGATTGAGAGATAGTTGATGCAAAAAAATTACACAAGATTAAAAAAAAATTATGATAAAAGTATCATCAACACACAATACACATTTTTCAACAACTCACTCATCAAAACATGTCATGAGAACGAATACACTCTTATTTATAATTTCGAAGAGTTGAACCCAAGATTAAAGTACTAATAGATTACATATAAGTACAGCATTATATTGAAAACAAACTCATTCAAAGCCTGTACTTTGACTTGTTTTGTTAAATTTTGTCTCGCCACATTTCTCCTTCATATTCTGTTCTTGTCTATCGCATTTCTCGTGATTGGAACATCGATACAGTTCAACCTTTTATTGCTGAACGATATACATCTACAGTTTATATTACACAAATATTTTATGATGATTAGCCTACTTTTTGTATGACAATTGATTTTTCATTCTTACGATGATGTTAAATTCATTGTTGAGACTGGCAACATTTATTTCAATTGACAACTTTCGATATTCAGTGATACTCTATAAACAGTTTACTCGAATTGATCGTTCCTTTTATATGCCAAGAATATGAACATTAATTTCAAATTTTCAGAAATGAATCAAAATGTTTTAAATACGAAGAAATTCATCTTTACGAATTTAATCGTTCGAATACTATCATATGTGTGAATTGTGCAGGTTGTGGATTTTAGTGTGAGTGGAGCTTTAGTTGAAGAAAAGGCCTACACGCTCATTTGATGTAGTAAACATTTCTCTACTTGAAAGTATAACAATAGCTATATATTTATTTAAAACACATTTGTAAAAACTAAAATTCATCTCACCATTGAAATAGCGATGAGTAATGCTTTCGTCTTTCTACGTAAATGTATAATTTTGGTTGGAATAATCCAACTGAAAATAAACATTCATCATGCTTCTGTTTTTATTCGAAAGGTGAGTGCATAAGTAAGAATTGTTCGAATATTTTTTGATGTTGTAAAAGTCATGAATTTTTTTCATTTTCTGACTTCCTCCGTAGAATACTGCATCAATCTTTTCTCCTTTCGTTTTCGATTCCTTTTCTTAAAAGAATTAGTATTTGGATTAAAACATGTAGATTATTTTATCTCCTTGGAAACTACTCATATTACCAATGATACAATGTTCAACGTCCTTCACAATGACACTAATGAAGATTTTTGCTTAATACTTTGCAAAATGTTATTGTACCATTTTTTTTTCTGAAAATAATCATTCATTTGATTTAATTGTGCATTTTTGATGTTGATCATGTATTATATAAGTCATCAATGTGCTCTTCATTGTCCTCTTTTCAAATATAAAGAAGTTTCAAGTACATATTTCAGTTCTATATATTAGAAGAAAAAGAATATATGAAAAAAATTAAAATATTAAAAAGAAATTATAGTTCATCGTGATCATATATTAAAGACCACATCGTTTTCGACATTCAGCGATGCCTACTGATGGATTTTTGGCTACTGCCATTCGTATGTCTTCTATTGTTGATATGTTTAAACCTCCGAGAGATGCTCCAACGACTGTTGCTGGTAATCCACCAAAGAATGTATTCGCAATAGTAAGTACGCCAGGATCTTCACTATTGAATGCAGCTACGAATGTTGCTGGAACACAATTCAAGTTCTGTTCAAAATGGATGGCTCCTTGTGGAAAAATAGCTGCTGTGCCACGTTTTACTCTGTTAGTTACAAAACTGACTCCATTTTCCTGTAGAAAGCCAACCTCGAATTCACCATCGACGGAAAAGTTTATTTCAGTTGCTCGTGGATGTGTATGTGGAAGATTCATACCGCAGGGACCTAAAAAGCCTACAGTCATTGCAACGCCATTTCCAATAGCACCAGGAAAGTTGGAACCCTATTGAAAAATAGTAATAATGTTGAAATAATGTTCTGAATAAAATTCGAATTAAAAATGTATAACGGATAAGTTAGAAAATGTATTGAAACTATTTTTTCAGTTGCCTGAATTGTGTTAGAAAAGTTTTCCAAAAGCAGAATTATCAATTTTGTAAATCTCAATGGAAATTGTATACAGATAGAGATGTTACATTTCTTGTGATATGATTATAGTAAAATTTCGAATAACAGTACATAAATCGCTGTTTGTCGAACAATGAAATTAACTTACTGATGCTTGCACAATTCTTCCGCCAGTACCTTGTGAAATACCTGTAGTGGCACTGACAAAATCAAAAATAAAATCAGTTGCATTCAGTTTAGCTATGCGACTCTGTTGATTGATTGAATTTTTAACATTTTCCAAACGCAAGAGATCTAAAAGTCCATTGGTCGTTGACGATGATGATGTGCTTGAAGATGCTCTCGTTGTTTGGCCTAATACTGGATAAAGAACCACAAACGCAAAGTAAATGAATACTTGAAACAGTTTCATTTGCGTTGAATATAATTGAAAGCAGCTGTTTCGATTCAAATTATTATCAAAATGAAAAGTTGCGCGCTGCTTTTAAATAGTCTAATATATTCCGGAAGATTATTCATCCAGTGACGTAAGAAGCTAACAAAATCGCCTATTATTCACTTTTCATGACTTCATTAAAAAAATTTAACTATTTTCATGCAAAAAAGGAAGTAGATTTTGTATACAACTTTCGTATTATTAGAAAATTGAAAACTTTTTGTTGAGTAAATACTTCACCTTTTCGCTTTTCTAAGCAGGAACAGAGCAGTGGCGTAGTCAGAAATTTTATAGGGGTACCCGACATATTATGGAGAGTGCACACTAGTCGAAAAATAATTCCTTTTTTCTCACAACAATTTTTTGCTCGTACTTCCTCCAGATATTCTTTGGCCAATGAGAGTGCCCAGACACCCTGTGCACCTCCTTGGGTGTACCCCTGCAACAGAGATAGGATGTTGTAGGCGGGGATGTATGATAAATAAATGAAACTGTTTGAGAATATTTAAGCTGTCAAAGCATTAATTCTCATTTCAGCTGAATCGATTCTTGTCGGGCAAGCAATGTTACTGCAGTGGTGAGTATCATGAACAAAGGCAGAATATATAGATAGACAAACAATAACCTTATTCTTCATAATTCATAAGAACTGGAGCAATTGTTCCTCTTTTGAGGAACTCACATATATTTTCGAAGAAGATAGCGAGTGTAAGTTGTAAGTTGGATTTTTTACTCCCCCCCGCCCCCCCCCCCCCCCCCCCCCCCCCCCCCCCCCCCCCACCACCCCCCACCAGCCCGCACCACGCTAGATATCGTGTTCTTATGGGTATGTTTGTATATGTGTCTGT